TATTATGTTCGTTAATTGCTCAAAAGGTACCACGTTTTACATATTTCAGCCTTTAGAGATATAGGAATTTTCGATGGACATTCAAAATGAAGCTTTACACTAGTTGTGCAGTATTTCATATTAGTGTCAAACGCGTATAGGGCTTTAAATTAGGTACCATTGAGCGGTAAAAATGTGATCTATTGACCCGTAGCCAAGAGCGATAGGTAGCAATAGGTACCTCAAATTCCAATTCGGTATTCGAAACATGATACTCTTTTAAGTTTAAGCGTGTCACTCCAAGTCCTGAGGAAAGCTAATTCGTTTGGCCTTGCTTGACACCATCCACGTAAATTTGCACGTAACTCCATGGCCCTGGCACTTAGACCTGAGTCATGATTCTGATTTCTACGACGGTGTTCAACAAATCCCTAGGATCAGGATATTATCGTCATTGTTCTTTTATCATATTAAAGGGCGCAAATCAAGCAGCTTGAGAGGATGTTCATGAGTAACCACAGCAATATGTTTTCCCGAAAATCCCCGTCTGCACTCTTCGCCCGGTAGACACCACCCTCGGCGACCGGATTCCTCCGAGCAACGCCCTCAACTCTCTAGGCATGTCTCAGTGCCCACTAGGGCATTCCAACTGGCTTAGTGAATATTGCTCAAATACAACTTTTTAGTCCTTGGAGACAGTGGGTTCAAGTTTGACTGAAAGCAAGTCTTTTTTTTTTTACCCGATCGAATATATTTTCCACCAAATTTTCGAAGTGAAAAGGTAACTCAAGTTGTAAACTAGTGTAAGGAGCAGTCCAGCCTTCTAATAACGGATAAAAGATAGAGAAAATCGTCTCCTCCAGCGACTAGAATAAAGCACTCGGATGACGATGCAGGGCAATACCACGCGGTCCGAATCTAGTAACTGGTGGCGTTGAGGATCTAGAGGTTGTGCTACCCACGGCTTACTATCGCTTACATGTTCAACCAATCTATATCAACGCTAATACGGCAGGCTGCAGGGTCTATAGTCCGGGTGACTTGCTGGAATGGTACCGAAGCCTTAGTTGTTACACAAAGAGGCGTATTATCTCTAGGAAAACACCTAATTCGTGAATTTTACTGGGAAGGATTATCATGGCGCAGTACAGAACGATAATATTGCTGTAAACTGCGAGCTGACAAACATGATGGCTTCTCATAGTCACGTTGCCTCTCAGCTTGCCACTCGACTCAAATCATCTTCAACCTTTTTACAATATTTCTAACAATGGAGCCGAGTCATATTCGTTACAGAATGGCAAACTGCTCCGGAATCGTTGCATGTGCAGTGTCGATAGTTCTCTTCGTATCTAACATCGCCAGTGCTATTTCAATTCCGCCTCCTACAGGTCCGTACCAAGTGGGCGTTCGAAAATACACTATTGAGCACTTCAATGACCACGACCCTGTGGCACCGAACAATGTGAGCACGGAATTCTTGGCTACCATTTTCTACCCGACTCTCCAGAAACCAGAGACCTTGCCTGAGCCCTATCTCAATTCTGAGACAGCTGCAGTTTTTGAACACGCCTGGAATTACACTGCCGGAACCTTGACATCGCTCACTTCGACTGTGCAGCGGAATGCTACATTCTTGGAACTGAAAGGAGACTCCGCCGAAGAAGGGGCATGGAAAGCATCTCCTTATCCAACTATTTTATTCGGACCCGGTTGTGGAGGTCCGCCTGTTGAAGGTAACACAATACTACTCTCGGAGTTAGCGTCATATGGTTACGCTGTTATCGGACTGGACCATCCATTTGAGCAACCTTTCATTCGCTATCCAAACGGAACCGGAGTTGATGGCGTCGTCATTGACTATAACTCAATTGAGCTTATTACAGCCATCTATGAGATGCGCCTCGAGGATAATTCCGCGTTTCTAGAGCAGGGTCTCATTGAGTTAGTACGGAAGTTCAACTTACCCTTCAACACCACTCATCTAGGTGCCTTCGGATACTCGCTAGGCGGCGCTGCAGCCTTCGGCTCGCTACAGCGTAACGAGCGCCTTGTCTCTGGGTTGAATCTAGATGGCACTCTATTTGGGGATCCAGCTATTAACAGCAGCGTCGCCGATGAGCGGAAGCCAACATTCCTTTTAGGAAGCGAGGGCCATGGAGGCGGGTATGGAACGGACCAATCATGGGCAACGTTTCCACTCTGGCAAACAGGTTACCAACGAAGGATTTCTATTAACGGGACGACACACTATGACTTCTGTGACAACACGTTCTGGAAGACTCTCGATAGGGGGGCTAGCCATGGCGCAGGACCTATTGACGGCCTCGAGCAGGTTCGGGTCCTAAACGCTTATGTCAAGGCTTTCTTCGATTTTACTCTACTTGGCACAGATTCGTCTCTTTTAGACGGACCGTCCCCTGAGTTCCCGGAGGTCTCATTCTATGATGAGCCCTAGTCCCGAGAGCCATACGTTCCGTCTAAATGTCCATAGAAGATGGACATGAAACATCCCGGAATGATATTATTAACATAATAAGCCAGCATTGATTGCCTATCGAGTGGAACCACAAGGGGAATAACTATAGAATGAGCCTAGAGAACAATTAACATCTCTCTTTTAAAACATATGGAAGAACATGTATGAGTAATCCGTATAGTGACTGTTGAAGGTGTTAGGAAAGCCAGATTTCGGCAAGCAACACACAATCATATAAGCCTTTTATCCATTCAAATCAGCCGATGCTTTCTCTTGAAGAGAACTACATGTGAAAGAATTTCTGGACGACGCTTAGTGACTGGTTATTGGCTCCCGCCCATAGAATATCAGCAGCCCCTATCCCAATTTCTAATAAGTTCAGATAATAAACACATATCCTATTACTACCTAGGTATCCATGGCCTAAGAGCAGCTCCTTATGGGGGCTCGTTTCGATCTACTCGAAGGCTGGGAAGAGAGGTCCAGTGCAATTTTGACTCAACCGCCCCAGACCCAATACTCTATATTACTTCACATATATAGATTTATGTCCAATCAATACCCGTCAAACCAGTTCCATCTATTAATGTTATTATTCAGTCAAACCATATCTAGAAGCTGTTATGAGAGTACTTTCTCTTTCAGCAAATCGGCTCTATCCCAATCATTATTCCAGCTAGTCTCCCCAACCAGGAATCGACCTTTTGTACTCTGGAGTTGCTTGGTGTGTTAAATCAATGGATACTCCCTGAGAATACTAAATGACACAGGTACATGTACCTTACAACTGGACGATACCACGTATGAACGCTATTGGAACATCATTCAAGAACTAGGCTTACGGCGATATGACATGTGGATATCTAAGTTGGAGGATACTGTTACGTAGCACACCACGCATGAAGAGAAGAAGCTCATTCTTCAGCAGCGAGCTGCAAACTATTTAGCTACTCACGTTGTATACATATGTGATGCTTCTTTGTCCATCATGTCTTAAGGTGAAACATCTGACAGATGCTACCTGTTAATGTAAGATCTACTAGACCATAGTAACAGCATCATCGTGAGTCATGCTGAACAAAATCTTACAGTCACCATTTCACCTAAATTGAAAAGAGGGTAAAGGGGCCCAACCACAATCTCCAAAGGGACCAAATGGGGGGCTCCTGCTACATACTGTCTGTTTCCAGAAACAAACATTAACTTTTGGCCTCATAGTGTCTAAAACGGCATCATGTTTTTATTCAAACCTATTTCTATGACTTCCTTCTAAACCATCCCTTACTCTCTCAATTTATCGCGTTTTCTTCTTTCGCTCCATCGCCATCTCTATTACTGTTGAGGGATGTACGATCAACCATTTTCATATTGTAGAAAATGGAAAACCAGCTGAACAACGAGGAGTCCTCTAATCAAGGCCAAGGTGAGTGGCAATTTCAAGGACAAGACAAGACACCCGCAGAATCTTCTCAGTTGAAACTCGTTTATTCCACCATCATGTACTAATTACTGTACATTGTAGGTGAAGCCCTTCGCATCGATCAAGGAGCTTCGCCTTCGGTTCTTGATCGTTCAGTGAGCACACCTCGTCAAAACATCAGTCACGCTTCTCAAAATGCTGCTCTGCGACCTCAACCTCCTATGCTACCTTACATCATAGGTGAAACGGGTCGGTCATCAGCTTCATGGCTTTCTACTGCCGGTGGACTGCCCCCTAGACATCCTAGCTTGCCCCATCGCCCGCCGACTATTCAACGCCAGGATCCACTCCAACGTACTCCTACAGTTCGCCATGCCTCCCCCATCGTATCGAGCTACACCGGCACTGGACACAATCCTAATTTCCGTCAAGCTGAAAGGGCTGAGAGTCTCGAGAAGTCATTAAGGAGCATTGAACAAGCAATCTTTGAGATTAACCAACTATCCCAATCACGGCGTCGACAGTACAACAAGCGGGGAGCACAGACTCGACGCAACATGAAGAGAAAACGACCATAACAACGGCAAAACGCGTGCCACAGAAACAAAGACAACAAAAATAATCACGCGGCCCTTTCTACCATTCTGTAGCCGACCGGATTGAAGGCGAGCTGGTCGAGGGTTAAAAAGCTTAGGCACGGAAGGTTGGCGAACGAGGCATGAATATCATGGATAAAAATACCCCCTCCTCCTTGGTGTATATAATAAATAAATACTACAGGTATTTACACAAAATAGCGTTATTGGGTGTGGTATATGCTCCTTTTCTCCTTCGACTCCCCATTTTCGTCAAAAGGACTCTCAGATAATACCTATAGCCTAGGTTACATAGTTTCCAGTTCCCTGCGGAATAACACGTTTCGTTCCTATCATCTACAATGCGCTGTGTGACACATTCATTCGTATAGGCTGGTTAAGACAATTCATGTCTTACATCGGCGTAATTGTAATTATTTGATTGCTCCCACGTATTTGGCTTCGAGCCAAGCGGAGTAGAGGTAGGGAGGAATGAAAGGCAAAATATCAATCAATATATTCGTGAAAAAAGAAAAAAATAAATCAATGCCCCCACACCGGATTGAACGATGGACCTCATCATATCGCTGGTCACGCGATGCTCACGTGATACGAGTGATGCGCTCTACCACTGAGCTATAGGGGCTTTGATGATTGGTTGTTAACTAAAACACTTTATATACCATGGTAAAATTTGATAGGGACTATCATGGAATTAGCTCCACTACCCCCACATGGTCATAGGCATGATCGTAGGCAGGTAGGTAAACAACTAAAAAGATTCAATTTCATGCTATTTCCAACCCTGTGTATTACAGTTGAACGTTATAGATTCTAGAGGTATAATCACTGTATTTCGTTAGACATGCTTTCGAAACTGAACGCATAGGCCAGTCATTCTCGCTCAATTTAAATTATTGTGTTAAAGACTCAACGTTCTGTGACTTTGGTTATTGAACTACAATTCTGTGTCACGTGACTACGGTACAATACAGCTTCAGTGTAGATAAAAATTGCATTAAAGTACTTAGCGATGTCGGCATACCAGCAAGCTAGGATAATATTGAATTGAGGGCACATGCAAGCAGATCAAGTTCATTCTGCGATCACTTATCAGGTATCTGGTCACATGATCCGATATTCTGTACTTCAACGCTCCAGCACCGGATCGGTACCTGCGGGTAGTACGTTGAATCCACTGTACAGCCGCGGAGCCTCACCTGAAACGGAGTACTCGAATTGCAGGAAAATACATGACTAGATCTCAATAAGTCGCTAAAATTGAGGCATAAGATTTAGAAAGAATTATTTCACATCAAGCTATTAAAGGCCGTGCGAGAGAAAAGGTACTGTACCCCTCTATTGTATCTTTAGAAACATTGATGGGAATAGTCGAAGTTCAATTAAGATCACCGATAGATAGCGTTACAATAATTTCCCTAGATTCCGATGAGCTTCCCAAGTAGATAAGTTGCTGCATAGTTTGATTCGTATCGATGCCTATCCGACGTATAAGGATTAAGATAGTAATTCGAAGGGTCAGGCAAGGCTTCCCTCTAAGAGGCGGAGTTAACATGTATGACGCCCGATACAGGTAAGGAAAGTGACCCGAGGTTAGGGACGATCCTTCAAAGATCGGGATAAGCCTTTGAAAACCTTGGTACGGCTTCCTAGCTTAGGATTCTGCCCTGCCTATTTCTGGGCTGTGCCATTGCTGTGGGGGTTCAGCCGCGCAACCGCTCATCTCGTGTCGCCTACCGGATCCGGTTAGCACTGCGAGGTACACTCCTTCGATATGGCTTCAAACATTACCCAAGCAGATATTTGCTGGTAGATTTGGAGGTGGCATCGTGTATAAATAGTTAGAAGAATCGCCGTTTTCAGGTCAATTCTTTTCCTAACTATCATTATCATCAATTCATTTCTCTGCTGTAGAGAAGGGATAAATTATAACTGATTCCGCATCTCATAACAGTGCATCTTTGTCCGACTAAGACATATTGTTCGGATTTCCAAGTTTTTAGACGTCTTTAACTAATCGACTGCCTTCGTGCCATAAAACTCTACTACCTAGACAAGATCAACCCCGCTACATATTCATCATGAGTTCAAGCAACACTCTACACTCCGGCGCTCGCGTCATCGTCACGACCCACAAAGAAGATGGCACATCCGTTTTCCATTCCGACCGCGTAGTGGAGTCCTTCTCGCCATTTGGGCCGGAGAGGAGCTCGTTCTCTGTTTTTGATGCGCGCCCCTCCGTTCCGGTCAACAACTTGGAGGAGCCCAAGGACTTGCAGAAGACGCTACCCCGCGTCACCCCAACGGGAGTCACTTTCTGTATTACGAACATGGCGCCTCGTCAAAGCGCACCCATGCACCGAACCATCAGCCTCGACTACGGTGTTGTGCTGTCGGGCGAGATCGTCCTCGAGCTAGATGGCGGTAAGGAGAAGATTGTCAAAGCGGGCGAGTTCATCGTCCAACAGGGTGTCAACCACGCTTGGCACAATCGGACGGACGAGGTCTGTCGGATTGCGTTCGTCATGGTCGGGTCGGAGAAGATCAAGCTGGCGGACGGGCGGGAGTTGGAGGAGACAGTGTTCAAGAAATAAATGTATTACTCATGGAAAATAGCTAGTTTTATCGTATGTCGACGTAGTGGCTTCTCTGAAATACCTACCTGAATCTCACGACGTCAATAGCCTCAGACTTAGAGCTTCTAATTCATTGACTTGACTCTTAGGCAATTAGAGTTGTGACTTATATGCTGCTTAGAGAACCGAGATGAGATTTCATTCCGGTGTACTCTCGAATCCGTCCAAACACTATCTGACCACATTGCTTTTGCTCTGGCGTCGTCGAGAGTTGTACTCCCTTGATCATCTTGATGGGCCAGAGAAGTAGGTAGGCTCCTATGCTTCGGCAGCGTGGGGGACCCGTTGTATGGTCATGTATACGGCCTAAGCGGTCAATGTCCCCAAAGGATTGAGGCACGGTTGAGAGGACCTCGTCAGACAGCAAACGGATTGTATCAGTAAATTGTTCAATCAAGACGTGAAGGGTTCCTCTTGTCAAGGTATCTAAGTCGGGGGAGTCCATTGCAGTGTTCAAACAGTTCAACAGCTGCTGGTAGCCGATACTTCGTGCCGTGCGATGATAATTCCACTCATAGGAAAGCCAAAGGTCCGGGTGGAGTTGGACCGTATTGGTCAGTGGTCGTATTGCAGGGTCGAACTCAGGTAAGTCAGACACATTCAGAGTCTTGAAGAACCACTCAGGTTTCCGCCGCCAACTAACCACTTCCTGATCTAGTTTAATTAACTCATGTACCATCTCAAGGACTTCGTGAATAGATGAGTTGCCGTTAGCTATGGCCTCCTGCAAGTTCCTTGCCCGCTCGCATGTTTGGCTAATCCGGAGAGCATCTTTCTCTAAGCGGGCAGAAGGCATGTCGTCACTTAACTGACTAATCCAATGCTCTGACTCGTCAAGAGGTTTCAAGTTGAAGGCTAATTGTTGTTTTTGCTATACCTCTGTGAATTAGGCATGCCATAATATCGCATTCAAGTTCGCATTCAAGTTCCGACTTACAATTCTGTGGTGCGCCAACCGAAACAAGCTCCACCCGCGAGGGCTGTATATCTGATCTGAACCCCGCAATCTCAATATTTGTGCCATTCCCTGGGCGTGAGCTCCCCGCATCGTAGAATCTTCGACGAAGAAAGTCTTCAGGTTTAGCATGCGTGATGAGCGACTAGGCACTCTCTTAGACATACCTCAAAATTGTCTAGCATAACCGCAGTCATGAGATCGTAGTCATCAGGGACCTTATTTGGTGTTGATAAGGACTCGCCCAATGCTGAAAGCGCCATTCCGTAGCAATGAAACGCTTTGCTAGCCAGCGCATCATTATTCTGCGCCTGGGACAGATCAGCATATGCTGCAGCTCGGACAGCCCAACGAAGGGCGAACCGGCCTTCGACATTCACTTCTTTGAACAAGCTCGGCAGGTGCTCAAGGAAACCGGTAGAGGATGTCTCGTTGCATGGGTATATGACATATTTGTCCATGAACCGATCGACTACCTCGTCTTCGGGAGCAGGCCGCAAATGGGTTGGAACATTCTTTGCCCATGGAAATGGTTCCAGCAGCTTCAGACTAGCAGCTTCTCGTTCTGTGAGATTGGAAGGGTCGGCGAACGCGGTGGGTAACCGACTTGAATTTGACTTGTTATCGGTGGATCGGCTCCTCCGTCGAGACACCTTCGATGAGGTACTAGACAGCGAGACCAAGGCTGCAGCAGCATTAGCATGCTCGATCACCTTCTCATTCTCAGAGCGAAACACAATGGCCGTGTCGTCACGATAGCCTTCACATATTTCATTGCGTTTGATGCAGCGTTGGCATGAAGGTCGTCCTTGGTCACATTTGACTCGTCGTTGGCGACATCTCAGGCATCCACGGCTAAGACGTGACATTGCCCAGATTTTGCTTAGTTAAGGCTCGGCAGCGAATTGTCTAGACCGGCAATGCGATGTGATGGCACTTCGATGTCAATGTCATACGGTGGTGGAGACGCTACTCGGTCACCATGCTCAAACACATGGGCTGCTAGGTATCGTAAATCACGCATGGAACCGCCCACTAATTCTAAAATAGGGGCACAGCCCATTGGGCGCGCGATCAGCTGAACAAGGCACTGCCTCAGCATCAATAGTGTATTTGCCGTGTCACGTGACGTTCCATCCGTTTCTTCCCGTTTGGCGATGGTTCTACGTGAGTATCTTTCTACTGAAGCTAGACAATTTCAAGGATCGGATAGGAGACAACACAGCCATTAATGAATTAGGTGCCGATGTACTTTCCTCTAGCAATTGACGAGTAATGAGACAGTATGTTAGTCACTTGCCTAACTAGAGAAAGTTCTAGTGCGACTTTGAACTCATCGCCAAGACCAAAGGGTTCATGGTGAGGAACGCAAGCGACAGCTTATGAGAGCTATCCTATGTAATTGAGAGCTCCGTCATATCGCCTATTCTTTTGGGTATTGCAATGCTACATATGATGGAGCTGACAGTTTAAGCTAACATTTTCGATCGATGCTTGGAGATCTAGCGTTGGAGTCAGCGATGGGTGGAAGGTTGGAGATTGGTCCTCCTCCGCGCCCTCCGCATTTTACCCCAGACGAACGAGTGTGGATCGACACCATATGACGTTTGATGAGCGAATACTCGAACTTTCGAGCGAATACGACTCGAGGTTGTTGATGGGATGCTAGTCTTGCTCGAATACCGTCGCACGCCTGACATCGAATGAAGTCATGCGTCACGAGACATCGTGAGATGGATGGCCTGTCTAGGAAACTGTCCCGATTATATAGATTGCGAGCTTTCCCTTAGGCTTGGGGTACTTTCAACTTAGGTTTCATCATCAGAGAATCCAAAGAACAATCAAACACATTGAAACAAATATCAATCGACATCAAGCCAACATCCAAAACAATATCAACCATGCCTGCAGAAGGACACGGATTACCCGACGAGGCCATCGTTGAGGCCCACGACATGATACATCATGCCGAACAAGAAGAGCACGAGTATGAAGCCGCTCTAAAGCGGGGGATTACTGATGAGATGGCAGAGG